ATGACGTGGACTTCCGGTAATATTATCATAGTTCCAACGTTTTGTGCATTACCATCGTTGTTAATGGCATCACGCTAATGAACATACTCTTCGGAACGTAATTTGGCTTCGTTGAATCGAAGAAAATTTAACCGTTCCGATTCAATTTTTGCATACATGTCAACAACATACTGGTGGAAAAGTGCTCTACACCTCAATATGTGGTTGTCTTGATTTTGCCGTATCTGCAGCCTGTATGCGTAATAATTCATAGCACTAACTTTCTTTGTTCCTTCTCGACCGTTTACTGGATTTATTATTTTAATGTTGAAATTATAGCCATCTTGTCCGCTCCAAAACAATATGGGATATTGTAGTGCATCATAACAGCGATGAGTCTCGGAGAACGCAACACCTTGTAGATTTTGAATATCACGACGTTCATTTGCAGTTGTTGTTGCATCATTGTTCCGTTGATTTGAACGGGACCTTGCTGTGCGTAGACGATTATTTTCATTGCGATGTGTAATGTCTTGGCTACTTTCACGGCTCCTTGAAGCCATGAACTTGAAACGAATTTCGCGTTCTCCGACCCAAATTTAATCGTCTCGACATTAACTTTAAAAACCACACAGGTTGGTTTAAAACGCACACATTTTCAAAAGCAACAAATATACTTACACAAATTGCAATTTTTTCAGAAAACAAATTTTCACACAAAAAGATATAAAAAACAAAATCTATCATCAAATGTTCTATTCTACATAAACTACAGGAAAAATACATATTTAGATTACCCAAAAGCATATAACTTAATGCGCAATGAACACAAAACACGCGAAATAAAAACTCTTTTTCTTTCGTGTTGTGATCTCACACATTTACATATATTTTCTAAATTCTAAAGATCGGTTTTAGTATTACCACTCACCCAATTTCGGCCCCAAAACTTTGGATTTTATTATAGAAGAAACAATTTTTTTACACGATTAACAAAAAGAATTAGGTTAATCAATAATAATTATGATACCACACAAAAACATGAAAAACAAAAGGATACGTACACGAAAATCGTTCCGTTTTTTGAGCATTTGTGGCTAGAAAAACAAATGCTTCCCGTTTAATTCAATTAAATCAACAGATTTGGTTTTAACGGAATTCGAAAGATATACGTACAAGTGGACTGACTGATAAAAACTATATACAAAATAATAACTAACACACCAAACACGCGTATTAAAATATATTCTTCTTTCTTGATGCAGTCTTAAAACAATCCATAAACAATTATCTAAATTATCTTTTCTAAATTCAAAAATCGGTTACATTTTTACCACTCACCCTCTTTCGGCCCCAAAACTTTAGATTTTGTTATAGAAGAAACTAATTTTTGTATACGATTAACAAAGATAAAATAATCATGGTTTCATTAATAATAATTATAGAATGCAACACACTTGTCATAACGCTGCAAAAACGGGACGATTAATACCACACAAAAACATAAAATAAAACTAAAGCATCCGTTCTCAAAAGTACACCCCTAATCGTTCCGTTCTGTGCAGTCGTTATGGCTAGGGAATAGAGACTACTCTCTGCTAATTCAACTAAATCCAGAGATTTGAAAATTCATTGCTTTTTTTTTACCAGTTGCGAAAGTATATTTCAACTTTATCAATACTATGTACAACACAACATAATGAATTAAAGCCCGGCGAAGTTCCGAAATGGAAGTGCTTGTCGAACTCCTGACTCTTAGAAACTTCATTCAACTTCTGACGTTTAGCCGCCAATATAAAGTCGTCTTCCTCAACCATTTGAGAGTCGCCACGTTTGCGCCAAAAAGTTCCTGTTACAGCACACTCGTCCATATCATCAGCTTTATAAACTAGATAGTTGGGTTCAATATATTTGTTAGATAATTTCAGCAAGTATGGGTCAAAGGGAAAAAATGTTTCAAGCGTCTTCTCAGGCATAGCCTTGTCATGCCCATAGACGGTGGCCAGCTTTCGTCGAGCGTTACGCTCCAAAACTGTGTGGCAATATGCGAGCTGATGGGACCGCGTTACGCCTGCAAATGCAGTGGCCACTGCTGGTAGACAGTATCGCAAAGGATTTAAGTGGGACATGGCAATTCGAGAGAGGGGAAGCAATTGAACGAAGTGCAAATCTTTTGTCAAGTCTTTTGCACGAAAGGCAATCAAGTAGAAAATAGACTGACAGACGGAGAAGAAAATCATGTTGGCCTTTAACGAGCCATTTTGGCTGCTGTACTGGTCAGAGTCCCCTATGTAGCTATTCGCCCAGTTGCTCAGTTCGTTGAGATACAATTTAATTGTGCCAAGTGGGACAAATTTAGCGCGAGCTAAATACATAGCTGGCCATATAGCCGACAGCAGCGTGACGAATAATAGCCGATACGTTTGGATTCTGCACTTTTAACCAGAGCGAGCTTAGAAATAACTCTGAATATGTCGGGCGAATGCTACACACTTGAAAGATGACAAATTGCACATGATGGGTATTGTGACTGGGCAACAAAACCTCGTCGAAGATATACAGCAGCGTCCTAAAGAAATTATTTGCAGCCCAACGTTTATCCTCGCTAAATTCGGACTGAAATCTACTGTCCACAAACTTGTAAAGCATAGACAGACATGTATCTAGTGGGTGTCCAATGGGATGATCAACCGAATCTTTCGGCTGCTTGACCACAGTGTCAGTGGGTTTCTTTTGTCTTCATCCTCCTCTGTTTCGACGATCTCATCCCTTGGAACATTTACATCCAATATAAGAAGTTTCTGCAAAACCAGCTGCAAAACGAGCTCCTCAATCACCGGTTTTTACTCTATTAACCACAGCACATTGTACAGATAGCCAGCTGTGACATGCGCTGGTTTCTTGAAGTATGGAAATTAACTGGATATGGAATCAATAACCACATCAAACGACATGGGCACAGCGGTCAAAATGCGGTTGAGGATGACGTGAACTGTTTTCAACTCAGTGCGTGTTCCTTCCGCTGGACATCCATTGACCCAGTCGGCGGCGTGCAGATCCCCAGGTATCCATCCAATGGACAATACACTTTGATATTCCTATGGGGATATATGTATTATGGGCCACCATAGTGTCAATGCTGAATTCTGTGTAAGCTTTGATGACGTTCTCCCTTTCGCCAGTTAAAGGAAAGCAAAGCACAATTTTCCTTCCATTCTTCATGATTTGTAACACTTCATCGTCGTCAAGATCCGCTTTCAAAAGATAGTAAGAAAATTCTTTCACAAGGTGAAAATTTCCGCCTTGCGCCGCACGCACCGATTCCAAAAGTCACTTTTGCTTAGGAGTGGCGAATCTCACTTTGTTGATTCCGCAGCCTTTGCTCGCTCGCGATCGGCATTTGAAAACGACTTTAAAATGGAAGTCATTCCCGTTTTGCTTGTGTAGGCAGACATTTTAATACAAATTTAGTTTCCTAAAAGTGCGCAATTGATGTAGCCCGAAAGGAACACTTCAATTCAATGTGCGACGATATACCGTTTTTACGGTACGTTTTACGACTCAAGCAGCTCCTTACACACTTTCTTGGAGTTTTACTATACAATATTCTCATTATAATTGTAATTTTCACTCAATATTTATTACGTTAATTGAGGATAAACAGCCGTTTAGTGTTTACCCTAGACTCTAGACACACTTCGGCACACACTGTAACACATTATATTATATTATATATTATATTCGCTGAGTTCGTTACACACAAATACACAGGGAGAATCGGAATGCGGAGACTACAAGCAATGATGATATGTAACCTAACCTCTACAGACGAAAAGACTAAGAGTTTTTGCACAAAAATTAATTTAAACTTAACTACCGGGCAATGACAATTGTTACCTTCCATTGATCATCGCTGATGAATATTATTTTCAACAATTATTAATAATTTCTTGCTACATTGCTACAAATGCAAATCTGGTTTAGTTCATTACATTAAATTAACAGTTGCTTTAGAAGAATAACGGAATAGAGCTGTAGCTCATTCGCGTCTTTCGTGAACTTAATCATTTTCCAGCTTTTCACTTTTAGTATGTGTGTTCTTCATGTTAAACAAATTAAATGAGACGTACATATGTACGTATTAATGGTTCGGTTTGAAGTCAAAGGCGACTAGATTTATTTTAAAAGTGTCATTCCACGCGCTGTGCTGTGAATGTGACAATTTCACACCTACAATAAATTTATATACATATATATATATATATCGAATATCACACACACACACACACACCCATATAATCCACGGACATAAAATGACTTGAAATGTGTACTCATTTGCAGATATATGTATGTAGTATAGGATCGTGCATCTCTGATTCATTTCAAGTATCATTAGCCGTTTAAGCATAATAATAATAGTAAATACACGATTAAGAAGCATACCTACCACACATACAATTTGCACTCTCGCCGCATACCACATACCGCATGCAACTGCTGTGCTCCGCTGATCAAGAAATGCGAAAAAATGCATAAAAACTTCTTATATACGATTCACATACACACATTATATGTAAAATTAGTTTGTAAGAAATTGACCTAAATATATGATACACCACAAATAAAATAAAAATCCATTAAAACAAAAATGCAAAGAAAAAAAAAAAAAAAAAAACTGTCGTTTTGTCCCTCTGGAACGTCGTTAAGGAACCGAAAAGAAAGAAGTAAATTTAAAAAATGAAAATATATATACGAAATACACATAAAAATCAATCGAAATAATTTGTAGTTTATTCTGATTTGGATTTTGGGGGGTTTGGTAGCGGCCAAAGGTGTATTCTCATTTGGAGTCGATTGATAAGACCTCTTAGCTTATCTGAATACGAATAGCCAGCCGCCGGAAAACGCAAGCACTCGACTCGACACGATTCGATTCTCCCGCTCAGCTGAAGGGAATGTATGTACACCCAGTATATCCCACATCCCATCGATGTATAGTTCATGCAGTGCGATTTTTATGCTGGGTTTCCTTTCTTTTGTTTATTACAGATCAGATCAGAGCACAAGCTATTCTGTAAGTACTTAAGTACTTGGCAGTAACTTTCCAATGCGATTGGAGGCATTCAAAATACATATGGATTCATTTGGTAGAAGACATAACAAACATCACAAAAGCTTGTACAGATAATAAATACAATTAACAAAGGGCCAGAGCCAACTCCTTGGATGATGGCTTCATGCACACACACACACACCACACAGAAAGTATTTTTCAGCGCATGGATGGCCGAATAAGATAGTAGAAAACAGAAGAGAAGAAGAACAACAACAGAATTCGCAGATTACACAATATAAATTGATAAATAGAAATGACTTTATGCTTATACAGATTGGTCTAAAGCTAAGTGAGGCAGCCGGAAATGATGTCATCGATGCATCTAGGAGTACTGCGTATGTGGATTAACGTTGATCATCTCCATGTTGCTGCTGTGGATGTGGGAGTGGAAAGAATTACGGTTACTTTGATTAGTTCAAGTGCAATTGGAAAGGAAATGTTAGTACAAATGTGTCAATCATAAGTCGAAAGATTATTACTTAATACTTATCGCGCACTCCCATGGTCAAGATATGAGTCTTCAAAGGGTTATGGATGGTATGGGTATGTACAAGAGCTCCTCCTACTCTAAGTCAACGCTGTCGAATGGAGCAGGAGTAGTGGGTATCATGAGTGAGTGCAGAGGGTTGGGTTTGGTTATGGGTTGGAGTGAGTGAGTGGGAAGGGATGGGGAAATGGGTGGTCCCCTATGGACTAGTTTCTTACCTTCGACTGCAACGCATATGGATCAGGAGCAGGCCCAGGCCCAGGGTTATGCATATGGCGCCGACAACGATGTAGGCAATGCCCAGGAATGGATTCTTGCCACCCAGCACAGATGTGGTGGATAGAATCATGCGCTTGGTGCCATCAAAAGAGGCCACCGGATATCCTAGAAAACGGATAGTAAACAAAGCACACACAATCAGTCAGAGATTTTAATAGGGGGAGGGATGAATCCACAGCACATACGGTATTCGATATTCAGGGTGTATTCTCCGGCCATTAGGCCTTTGGCATAATTGTTGTTAGTCTGGTCGAGGCGCCGATAGAGCTTCCGGAAGCTGGGCAACGCTGCAGTGCGCATCCAAACAATGAGATCCTCATTCTGGAAACCATTATTCTCCGCATTCTCCTCGTCCAGTTTGTCCAGTGGATTCTGCCAGAAGATGGGCTTGGAGAAGCCCTCGAGGGCTTTGGTGAGATTGCCCTCGGGATTGTGGAATTTGACCCGCTTGTCGGATGGCCATGCAATGCCCGTGTTTAAAAGTTTAATATTCACACCGCCCTGCGTCAGTTTGAGTGTGTCTGTTGGAAACAAAACAAAAAGGGAATAGCCACAGTGAGAATTATTTATGCTACGCCCAAGTCTTGAGAATGTGACCACCGACCGTTGAACAAAGAGTTGGCTATGGCGCCACATGGCGCGATGGGCAACTGATTCTCAGGGTTATAGGCAAACGGGGCACAATCCGTGCTGGGCGTTTGGGACAGTTGTCCGAGCAGCTGCATGTCATCGCGGGACTTCACATAGCGCCGATGGTTTTGATAGTAGTTTGTCAGACCATAGTACATGTATACGTCGCCCTAAAAGTCGGTCAAATGGAGGCGGGGTCATAGAATGGAAAAAAACCGATTAAAGAACAATTAATGTCATGTTTGAAAGGCGGTGCTCGCCCATGTCTGCTTGCTGTTTTGCTACTCACGCTAAAGTCGGAGGTCAGGGTGAAATTGATGTTGCAGTTGCACTGCTTGCCCGTGTTTGCCTGCAGGTAGTCCGCACAGGTCATGCCAGAGTTGGCGGGGTCCGATGACTGGCAGCGGGTGTAGTCAATGACCAGCTCGTTGGCGGTATTGGAGAGGTGCAGCAGCACCACGCCAATCGGTATGAAGAGCACTCCAATCACAAAGAATGTCGGCAATACCGTCCTCGCCGTTAGGACGGGTTGCCAGGCGGGCAGCCGTTGCTGCTTGAAGGCCGAATCTATTTGGCGGTAGGAGGGTTTTTTCAAATATCAATTTTCGTTAAAGGTTAACCATGACATCATCCATATCCCTATCTCTGCCGTGGCAAGTAAAAGGAAGTGAAAACTGGGGATGTGTGACCGGAATTATCCATTCCATTACTCATTCCATGGAAGGGACTATGGGGGGCTGGCGATCTTATCAGTTGAGCAACTGGTTACATTATGTGTGTGCGTATCGTCAGTGCGTACATGTGCGTCGTGGGTGCGAATGTATGTCTATATGCAGGTGTGTCTGTTCTGTGTTCAGAGTAAACCTCTCACCTGAAGGTCGCTTAGACTTTGGGGCTACATCCGCCTCCCCTTCCCCTTGTCGCACGGACATGGTCCCTGATGATGTGCTGATTATGCTAAAGAAAACAACTGAAGAAAATAACTTTGGCCCCCGTGTCTACACTCAGCCAGTTGACCCAATCGAATAAAGGTAAATACAAGAAATTTTTTCTGCTAATTAGTGATAGTAACCATGAATCACTACATATCGATGTATATCGATACATGAACCGGAACTGAAAACACTGCACCGCGTGAACCAGCTCAGTTTTGATAGCACTTCTTTGTTTGAAATGTCAAATTTTTTTCTATATTTTATCCATTTCAAAATTTCGTATTGGCTTGCCACTTGAGCCCGGAGGGTTTTCAAAAAAAAAAAAATGCTCCCGAGTGTGTTTTGTGAATAATATCCATTCATCGATATCAATCTGAATGCAACCCATTACATCGCATCGCATCGCAGCGGCGTTTATGTTAGGTACCAAAACAACAAAGCAATAGCACACAAAGAGAAAACGCAATCTACCGAGAGCATTTATAAATTATTGCGGTCCATTCAAGCAGGCAGTCGTCCCCCAACAGAGAATCCTTCCAAAACAGTGTTTGTGCGCAATCAATCGACCCAGACCAGACCCACGGAGTTTAGTGAAACACCCCACACCATACATCCCATCAAATCAAGCCCCAGCGGTCTCTCGCACTATGAAAATCACAGTGACTGCCTCCGATGATCGGCTTTTCTGCTTGGACGTGTCCCACGATCTCGAGCTGGAGAACCTCAAAGCCCTCTGTGCGATGGAGATCGGGGCCGATGTCGATCAAATTATCGTCCGCTTGAATGGCCGGGAGCTGACGAACAACAAGCATTCGCTGCAGCAGTGCGGCGTCAACGATGGGGACTTTATCATGCTGGAGCGAAGAAGGCCCAACAATCGCGCAGGTGAGTTGTGGGTGCCGGGACGAAGTCTATGTGCGCGCGAACTGTATAACTGGGTCAATGCACGCGCCACGCCTGTGGGCCAGTGACTGCACCACCACCCCATAATCCATATGGAGAGAGCATAGGTGGTCAAAAAATGTTTCTAGAAGTTGTGAAATTTGAATCGGGGCTTGAAACGTGGAATGATCGACATGAATAGACCACCAACCAGTGTGTGTGTGTGTGTGGAGTGTTTGCATACTCTTTTAGAGGTGATATTCATATTTTGGGCAGAGAGCGGGTTGCCGTTTCGTAATATTACTTTACTTAGTTAACTTAATTATTTTTACTTATGTAGTTACTTAATTAACGAAATTCTTATTTTTTACTCATTTTCAAGAAATTGATTCAGAAATATTCAAACATTTCGTTTAACAAATTCGCACAATTCGCAGAAGCGTAGCATATCGCTTTCATGCATTTTTTGGAAAAGATCTTTACCACCGGTGCCCGCCATCCCGCCTCTGCGTCGCAGTTAATTTTAAAAATAAACGCGTTTTTTTGTTCGCCATTGCTGTTTTTTTTGTTGTGATTTTTCTTTTGTTTTCCCCATTCATTTTTGTGCACATTCCGAAAGAAATTAAAGACAAAAAAAAAACAAGTAATTGGGATCACACACACACACATGCAGAGACAGAGCAACATGTACACACACACAGAACACTGGAAAGGAGGTGGATTTGATTCCATTGCAACGGAGTGGAAAGTGGAAAAGCGCGGTGGCGGCGGCGGCGGCGGCGGCAATGGCGCATCCATACATGCGTACATATACGTGTATATATGTACATCCTACATCCATAGATGAAGAAGGCCATAAGCAGGTGTGCTCTGATCTTCGTCTGTTTTTTTCTTGTTTGGCTGTTTACTTGACCCCATCGTGCGTGGTTGGCCTTGTCTGTTTGTACCCCCCACCCCATCCGAGTCACCCCCACCCATTCAGATCATGATATGTATATGCATGCAGTATGTTGTGTGTGGGCGATGCACAGCGCATTGAATTGGTTAGCAATCGCTTATAATGATTCACTATTTGACAACAGGGGGTGCCAACAATCCGGTAATAAGTGGACTGGACTTTAGCAGTATCGCTGTGCCGGGATCCAGTGCAACGACCAGTGGCGGTAGCCCACCCTCAATGCCCAACCCCAGCCTGGGAGGAGTGGCAGGATGGGGTGGACTGGGAGCAGGCAACAGTTTGCAGCAGCAGCAGCAACAACAGCAGCAGATGCAGAACCTAACAGACATCCCAATGACGGACGATTTCAATGTGAACTTCGAAGACGATCCGGCGACGGTGAGGCAGTTGTTATTGTCCAGCCCGGATACACTGGCCCTGCTGAGGGAGTATAATACGCGGCTAGCGGAGGCCCTCGATTCGGGGGATCCGGACACGTTTGCCCGGGCTCTCAGGGAGCATGTGACGGAGCGGAAGCGGCGCAACGATCAGCGGGTGCGAATGCTGACAGCGGATCCGTTCGATGAGGAGACGCAGCGTCTGATTGCTGAGGAGATAAAGCAGAAGAACATTCAGGACAATATGGCGGCGGCCATTGAATACAATCCGGAGATCTTCGGCATGGTCACGATGCTGTGAGTCCTCCTGGTTATGTGCACACAGGATCCCCCTCCTCAAACTGAATCCACCCGTTTGTTTCCCCACAGCTACATCAACTGCAAGGTAAACGGTGTGCCGGTGAAGGCCTTCGTTGACTCTGGAGCCCAGACGACAATCATGAGCAAGGACTGTGCCGAAAGGTGTCACGTGAACCGGCTGATTGACACGCGCTGGAATGGTGTCGCCAAGGGTGTGGGCACTCAGCCCATTCTGGGCAGAATCCACATGGTTCAGCTGCAGATCGAGAACGATCATTTGACGTCCAGCTTCACCGTTCTTGGCCAACAGCCCATGGACATGTTGCTGGGTCTGGATATGCTCAAGCGTCATCAGGTAAAGCATCACGAGGAGTAGCTCGTTTTTTTTTTCGTTCATTAACTCCCTCCCTCCGTCTCTCTCTCTCTCATTTTGCTGCAGTGTCTCATCGATCTGCAGAGGAATCTTCTGATTATTGGCACCACCGGAACGACAACACCATTTCTACCCGAAAGCGAGCTACCGGTTGGGGCCCGGCTCACGGGCAATCCAGACGAGCAGACCGAACAGCAGGCGATTGCCGAGGCCATGGAGCAGAGTCGGAAGGAGGGTGCCTCCACATCCGCATCCGCCTCGGCAGGGCAGGGCGCGAATACCATCCAGCCAATGGATCGATTTACCGAGCAGGATGTCAGCGATCTCATGGCCCTCGGCTTTCCGCGCCGCGATGTTCTCATTGTGCTGAGGCAGTGTGGTGGCAATAAGCAGGTGGCGAGCTCACTTCTGCTCAGCCGCAACGAGGCAGCCGGTGGCGGACTTAGCTGAACTCGGGCTGGAGCCCCCTGTCCCCCCATACCCAAGCTCTGCCCATCCCACCACAAACGCCACAGACACCTCCTCCTACTCCGCCTCCTCCTACGCACCACAATTCACTCCTATGGGATCAATCGTAACAAAAACAACATGAAAACCAACACAAGGATATGATGACGAGCAATCACAGCCAGCTAGCCAGCCAGACAGACAGACACGACAGACAGCCAGCCACTATATTCCGTTTCAACGAAATACTCTGAGCAATACCAAAACGAAAATGGAAAATGGATAAAATTAAATTTGTAATTTAGGGAAATTTTTGTAAACTAATTATGCCTCTTTTTTATATGAATCGTTATACACAATAGCTAAATAGTAGGATGAGTATGCATTTGGGCGACGCGCGACACCCTCCTCCAAAACACACACGAGAGGACGCGAATAGTAGGGTGTGTGTGTGTCTGGGTCTTCTGTAAGAGAGAGATATGGGTTAAGATGCGAAATGAAGAACCACTGAAACGGATTCAACTGAAGTGTAGAGAAAGAGACAGAGAGAGGCCCCCGGGATAAATGGTAACGTTAAATAGAAAAAAGCCAAGATACCACAGCAACGAAACCGAAACATGAAATAACAAAATTGAAGTGCAGCAGCAAAACGAGAAACAAAAAATACTCCGCAAAATGCCTGGACTATACTATATATAAACCGCAGTCAGACGGACAGACGGGCCCACAGAAGGGCGCCCCCCACCGCCCCGCCCCCCCCCCCCCTCCCCCCCCCCCCGGTGATATATACACTTAGGGGCAAAAATACCAAACCACACATATATATATATAGATATATACACATTACAAACACACACACATATATATATATTAAAATATATGTATTTAAACATATATTTAAACATTATATACAAATTTGATCTAGTATTAAGATGCGACGCTCTATTAGGTGGGACGATGAAATTATGGATTTTTAACGAATAAAAGAGTCGAGAATTGTTTTTGGATTTGGATACAAATATACATAAACGGCAAAAGAAGGAACAAAAAAAAAAACCATTTTAATTTGATTTGAATTATGTATTTTCTTTACCATCTGGCAGCTGAGGCTGATTTATTCTTATTTAAATATTTTCTTTTTCGTGGCTTTGAATAACTTTCGTTAAATATTTATATATTTAGAAATATAAATTATACAAAAATCTGATTCTATTGTTTCACACGCACGCACGCTAAACGCATTCAACGCACGACGCACCTCCCCCCGCGCATCATCGATTTTGTTTTAGTTTCACTTTAAAGTTTAATCCTCGTCATCCTCGTCTTCATCATCATCCGATTTGGCATCCGCCGTTGAGTTTTTGTGATTGAACTCCTTCTCGGGATCGAATTGCATGCCCTCTTGATCGGCGGCATCCTCCTCATCATCATCGCCAGCGACTTGGGCATTCTCAGCCTCGGCACGCTCCAGGCGCCGTGCCAGATCTGCCTCATCGATGGCCGTCACAAGTTTGGGTGCCATTATCACCTTGAACTCGCCCTCGTACTCCAGTATCTTGGCCCGTATATTCTCGATGGCCACCTCCAGGGCCTTGAGGCCGTCTGTCTTCTTTGTGGTGGCTGTTGTCATCACATATCTGGAAATTACATGAATTCAATTAATTCATCGGATCGATATAAGTTAATTATTTGAATGTTTATACACTTACAGCGGTGGGGCTATAAGGTTAATGCGAATGGGCAGCTCTTCGGTGCTCAGCTCCAGGCCCTTGGTGAGTGATGCCTTGACGGCATCAATGCCCTCGTAGCCGTAGCACGAGCACTCGATATCGGCGCGTATTTTGACAGTGGGCGAGACGAGTTTGCGCTTGATGTTGCTCAGGAGCACCTCCTTGGTTTCCGGGTCCAGGTTGCATTCGTCAAATACGGATGGGTCCGTCACCGACTGCTTGAAGATGTCGTACGCCACAGTCTTGCTGTTGTACTTCTTTTCAAAATACCAGGCGGTCTTCTGATAGAGCTCCTCCAGCTTTTCATTGCCCTCATAGCCGAGAATGTCGGCCACATGCCGCAACAGAGAGTTGATGGCCTTTGCCTTGGCAAAACGTTCGGTGCACTTCTCCACATCCTCGGGCGAAACGCGACGCTTGGAAAGATCTATGTAGCCCTTCTCCTTGTCCACACGAATGACGACAACCGGCTCGGTTTTTCCCACGCGGATCAGTTTGTTAATGGAGCGAATACGGCGACGTGACAGCTCAGACAATAATATCATGCCCTCAATGTTGTTGTACTCCAGCAGATGTACGTAAGCGCCCATTTCGGCTATGGAGAGCACGTTCACCATGACGACATCCTCGATTTCGGGATATCGCTCGTTGTAAAACCGCGACGTTAGAGCCATGTTTTCTGTGTTCCAAGAACGACAATGGTGTGGAATTCAAGCAGAAATAAAAGAGAACAAGCACTTTCTCGCCAGAAAAAAAAACGTGTACAATTTTGCCGAAACTGGGTGTAAGAAGAAGCTACAGCAACCTTAGTGTTGTAAACTAACAAGCGGCCGATGGGCGGCGAATTCGCAGAATCCGACGTTGGACAGCACTGTCATATCCGTCATCGATATGCCGATATATGAATTAAATTGAAGACAAGCAGAAGTTTTACATAATTTTTTCGCAATATAAATTGAATTAACTATTTTAACTATTTATTCCCATGAGTTCCAGGCGACCTTTTTACTTGCCAACTATCGATATTGTTATCATTAGTGCTGCAAAACGTCTTCCGCGGCGAATTGATAAGTGTTGCTTGCGAATGAATTATTGCGGCATAGCAAATACATCAGCTTTTTATGATACAGACAATTGGGCATTAAATGATTTATGGGCATGTTAGACTCTCTATCGAATTACCTATCACACTTGCAATGTGAATCAGCAGAGTTGGCGGCACGCTAAGCAGATGGTCTGGTGTGTACACACTGGCCGGGCGACAACTTGGGTTGTCAGGTCAATCTGCGGATTGCAGCGAATTCGCTCATTTGAAAAAAATAAAACATGGCTGGAAGAGGTGGTTATGAACACGCTAGGTAAATATTATTAAATATATTCAATAATTGTCGGTGCAATCTCGTCGAAACGGTGAACGTTTTCCGTAGTTCAAGTGTGTGGCACGCGCGTGTTTTAGCCAGTGCAGACGTTTACTCAAATGTGTAATAATGCACGCGGTTTGGGCAGGCAAAACCATACCATACCAAACCACCAACACTGGCGCACGAGTACGCACCCATACACGCACACCGTGTTATGTACGTGTCGGTCGTTGGTCGCCGTCGTTATATATGTGTATTATGTGTGTGTGCGCTAGTGTGCGTGTTTTTTTTCTTCCTACATTCTTTTTTGTCTTTTCTACTGCTGTGTGCTCGTGTTTTTTCAGTAACACGGCTTGATGGCATCACTGCCAACATTGTCGCCCAACATCCGTGGCCTAACTATCCAAAAACAGCCCGAAAATGTACTAGCAGCTTGCCCAGAGCAGAGCCAGGGCCAGCCGTCGTGCCGGGGACCAGCGCTGGGGCCGGGTCAGGCCCCAGCAAATGGATCCAAACGCCCAAAATAGACCCATAATTCGTGGGAAAAACTTCTTTTTTGCTATACGTGGTAAAAGCGCGCGCTTTTGTCCCTTCATTGAGTAGTGGACACTACTGGTTCTGTTTATTTATAATGAACATGCGGCAATTGTTTATAATAGACACGCGTCGAAGTATGGCTCTAGTGGTGATATTTGTTAATATTTTTGCCTCGGTATCGGGCTCGGATTTCCTTTTGTTTTTTCCGCTTCGCTTTTCCCCCATGTGCGCTCTGCTTAGCTTTGCCCGTCTCTGTGTGTGTGTTTGTATGTGTTGGGTGTTGGTGTGTGTGTGCTGCGTGTGGGAGGGTAGAATAAAGCTCGTACCATGCCGGCGATGGTGGGGTTGGGCAGGGGGAAGGAGAAAGGTAACAGGAAACAGTTTGAAGACCCCCACTAATGATTAACATCCAATCCATTTGTTGCAGGGGGGGATTTGGCGGCGAACGCCAGATGAAGGTACTGCCAACGGAACCGCCCTTTATCGCCTTTGTGGGCAACCTGCCCCAGGGCCTCGTCCAGGGCGATGTGATGAAAATATTTCAAGACTTTGAGGTGAAGAACGTGAGGCTGGTAAAGGATCGGGAAACGGACATGTTCAAAGGCTTTTGCTACGTGGAATTCGAAACGCTGGAGAATCTGGAGCGGGCACTCGAGTTCGATGGACGCATCAAACTGGACGATCTGTCGGCTCCGCTGCGCATCGATATAGCTGACCGGAGGAAAAATGATCGGTAAGCTGATTGTCGATTCTTCCAATCTCAAATGAGACTAACTTTTTTCTTTTGTCTGCCACGCATGTGTGTGTGTGTGTTTGTTTGTTTTGTTTTCATTTTCCACAGGCCCGGTGGCGGCGGTGTTGGCGGTGGCAATGGAGGCATGACCCGTGATGGTGGAAGAGACGGTTTCCAGAAGCGTGGACCGCCCCGTCAGGGCGGTACCAGCCAATCCTATAGCCGGGGCGGTCCCGGCACTGGCGGCAACGGCGGCGGTGGTCGCGAGGGTGGCGGCGGCTCTGGTAATCGCGCCGATAGTAGAGGTTCGTACAATGATAATTATGGTGGTCACAGTGATAGAAGTCGAGGCGGCGGCGGCGGGCGCAGGCTCCGGCTCCGGCAGTGGCATGAATAGAGGATACAATGGTAAAGCATTTTTATCTGGCTTCCAACCAACCAACCAATCAACCAATCAACACGTAGCTGCATCCCTTGTAGTGCTGCCAAAAGTAGCAGTCTCTGACTCTGATCTGATTCTGATTCGAACCGAAACGCATGGGACTAATACATCCACGCTGCAGTCTCCGAAAGTGTTACCACTCTACCAACCAACCTACCTATCCGAAAACCCACTGCACAATCTCCCACTGTACTGGCTTTAAGTTATAGTTACTTTCATCTGTATCCACCGTTCCATTTCTGTTGGCTTTTGGATCTATTCTGGAATCTCTCTTTGATTTGCTTATCCTTTATCCACTATATCCATTATCCAATATCCCGTATCCCATAATCCTTTATCAGGTGCCTTCAGTATCTCAAACGCACCGTAGCAGCTGCGATAAATTTGAATAGAATTTCCCGCACGCTTTTTACTAGCATCAATAGCCATCTAGCTAGCATGACGAGCCTTAGCCTTAGCTTATCCAATCACAATAGGATCCCACCTCCCTTGTTGCTTGTTCTACGTTTTGTTTGACATGTGTCGTGTCCACCAATTTCAGATCGGCCGGCGAATCGTGGTCGGTACGGAAACTTTAACAATGATGATCGGTTTGAGCGGAACCAGGACCGTGACCGGGGGCAGCGCGAGGGCAGTTATGGCAACCAGTCGCGCGACGGCGACCGCTACAACAACTTCAGCAGGCACCGTGACCGCGAGCGTACCCACTACAATCCCAACCAGCAGAGTGAACGTCCTAGCGGCGGTCTTGGTGGAGGCGGCGGCGGCCTTGGGGGCAGCGGCGGTCTTGGCAGCAGCGGCAACCTCGGTGGTGGTGGTGGCGGCGGAGGCGGTGGTGGTGCATCGATTGGCGCCATTGGTAAGTATGGGGAAATTTTTGGTTTTTTTTATGTGGTGGTTCCAGTTTTACTATTCTATATTCCTCGATTGCAGACGACACGGAGAGGCCACGCCTGCAGCTGAAGCCACGGACCATTGCTGCGCCAATCAATGCGGTGGCCGAAACCAAGCAGTCGGCATCCATTTTCGGCAATGCCAAGCCGCGCGAGGAGAAATTGAAGGAGCTGGAGCAGAATGTCTCTCACAATGGCGACATCTAAAGTGCAGGGAATCGATCCGCAATAAAGCCTGATATGATATTTTGCTGGTGAGAGTGAGACAGGGAGAGAGAGAGAGAGAGAAAAAGAGGGAGAGCGACAGATGAGGAAGAAGGAGAAGCGTCATGCGTCATGCGTCATGCGTCAGCGTTGAAGAGGATGATCAGCAGCATCAGTAGCAACAAGCAGCAAGCAGCATGCCGTATATAAACACATACTTTAATTAATATTTCTACGCTACATACCTATTATACACAACAAGTTATGTACTAAATTGCAAGAAGAAGGAGAAACGATGGTAAGCGGAGCAGCGGATCAACTTAACTACAAACGAAATGAAGCAAACAAACAACAAAAATGAGTACAGCAAAAGCGACAGCAACCAAGAGCCCTTAAAATTTTTCTAATGCATGCAGCAAGCAGCAGCAACAACATCAGCAAGCAACAACGTCTATAAATGTTAGTCTTAAGCTATAAAGTTTAGTCCCGTGCATATGGCGGGTATGTATATATATACAGTATATATGTGCAGTATATATGCATGATTCACGCCATGTGCACGCTTCTATTTGTTAGTTAAGTAATGCATATATAAACAACAACAACAACAACAACAAAAAATAACAAAAAAGAAACCCAAGAAAAAACAAAAAAGTTAAGGCATAAAAACAGTAAACGAAAACCAGAAACAAAAAAAAAAAAAACAAAACAAAGCAAAAAGAAAAAAAAACTCGAAAAACAAAACCAAACAAAAATCGAAAACAAAAACCCTTTAATGACAAAACGTTCAGCGTAGCGCAGGCAGGCAATTTATACACAGTTTATATGGCAAAAAAAAAGAAAACAAAAAAATAAAACAAAACAAACAACAAATGAACGAAACGAATAATTAAAGTTATATGTGGAACAGAACAGAGCAGAGCAGCAGAAGTAGAAGCAGAAGAAGAAGCAGCAAGAGCAGCAGAAGAAGCAGCAGCAGCATCAGAACAGAAGAGAACACCAACTAAAGAGGACGAGAGGCACGTACATACGCAATCAGAGAGGAGAAAGAGCCACTCGAGGATAATTATAAACATTAACAGCAATAAAACAACCTCATATATATACAGAAACAACAGACTACATATATACATATATATAGAGATCTATGTAATTGAAGCAAGAAATGTCCGATTAGAAACCCCATTTTATACCACCCCTGGACCCCCACAATCCACACAATCCAGAGACCACAATCATGCATGCATTCAAAATTTGTAACTTTTTAATAATCGTTCGCATTTCAGTGTTTGGTTCTTTGTGATTTTCCATTTTCTTATCATTTAGAGACCAGGGTATTTCTGTCCAGTTCTTTGTAGATAATCTCTGTAAAGCGTGGATAAGTGAAACGACAAATTTATACATTTAATTGTGGCTGTCTGTTTTTATAAGTTTTCCTGGCATCCACCGTCTTATGCGAGTACCTGCAAGCGAGAGGCGTTTTTCCTTTTATTTGAAACTCTTCCCCCTCTTTTTTTTAGTATACTCTGTTGGTTTTTTTAAATAAATACATATATAAATAAATATAATTTTTTTTTTGTATTTTGCAAGAGCTGATGATACGCGTGAGTTGTATATTAATTTGAAAATAAAGCAAAAAACATTTACATAAGACATGTAGCAGCATTCTGTTCGGTGTGGTGTGGTATTTTCGCCCTTCCAGTGCGTTTGCAGTTGAGTTTGATATCGGAGCGCAGCTGAAAGAAACCAGCTCTAGAATCGTTGTACATACAAAGAAAATAATCAAATTTCGGTGGCTCTCCGTTAATGTGCATGTATGTATTTTGTTTGTTATTTTCGTTTTGGTTTTGTGTCCCAAGCAACGCGTATCAGTGTCATACTGCCATAAAAAAATTTACTACCTACCATACACCATACACCAAGCAAACTCCAAGCAAAAACCCGACTTGAAAAGCAAGCTAAACCAGAGTTAACCGCGGCAAGCAAATGGAAATAGTAATACAAATAAATTAAAGTTAAATATACAAGTAAAAGTAAAGCTATTACAATTTATACACCTAACTTTTAGCACTAATACCGTAAGCAGTCAAAGATTTATGCTATACGAAAATGGACAGCAATATTTGTAGTTCCGAGTAAAATGAGAATCAAGCAAAGCAAGCAAAAGCATAGATGATTATAGATGAAAAAAAACTTACTTAAACGCAGCCTAGAACCTAATTAAGGACTTTGATATGCATTTTTAACGCCCAGAAAGACAAAGAATTGTTTAAATTACGATTAAAGCGAAACCAAAACTAAAACAAGAATTTATACAGAGCAAGAGTTAGGCATTAACCTACGTTATACGAGTAACAAATCTATATAGATGATATATATATACAAAATATACGCTATGGTTAATGGCAGGGCTGATCGAATAAAAAAAAAAAAACAAGCAAACAACAATAAATAGCAATTCTACTTCTTAACAAAACACCAAACATTTTTGAATAAAAACAAAACAAAAAAAAAAAAAACAAATAAAAAAAACTAAGCTATAAATTACCAAGCAATTATAAAACTAGACCTCAAAACTAAAACAAATCGTAGGCAAAACAAATTTGTACCAATTACCAACAACACCAACTAAATAAGTAACTTACATAACAGCAATTTATATAAATAATTAACAAATCAACAAAGTCAAAGAATCAACATGCAAGAAAAACAAACTAATTAGGAAATCGAAAAAACAAACAAACAAACAAACACAAAAAACAAAAAACGAACTCTAAGCAAAGTATAAACCAATTCACCAACCAATACACCATATGATAACGAATATATATACATACAGATAAACATATATATATATATATTTTTTGTTGTTTGAACATTTTGTACGATACGATACGTATATATATATACAACTAAATAAATCAACAAATTAAAGAAATTATAATACAACAAAACAAAACAAACCAATTCAATTTCATTTAAATTTGGTAGCTTAAATACTGGTTACATACAAATAGCACTATTATATTTATGTGCATTTGGATGGATTGAGATTGGACCTGCAACTACAAGCTTTGAAAGATCTGGAAGTCAAAATAGTTACTGTACCTAGTTCTTGAAATCAAACTTGCACAGAGCAGTGCCTTGTCTCCCTCAGATTTTTTCATCCATCACTCCTCTCCATTCCATTTCTTTCTTCTCGCCAAGCTCGAGTGACTTACCAGATCTACTCTACCCCTAAACCATCACGGCCTGTAGGCTGTACCCATGTAAACGCTGCACTCCGACACGAGCAGTTTTGGAACCATTTTCTAGGATATTCAGGGAGGAACTTTCTCTGTTTAAGGACTCCATGACACACTGGAATTTCGCGATCCACCAGGTCGAGTACAACATAAATTGAAGATGAATTCAATTATTCAAGTATATTAACCATTAACTTCTGTCTCTACGTGGGATGAGTATATTGAAGGATTATCCATAACATACCTCCCTTTTCCTAGATGTGTTGGACTATCGCTAGATTTATCCATTGAACTATGCTTGGGTTCATGTCTCGTTTTAAGCCAATTATCTTCTTGCAGCTGTAAAGGGCAGTCATGCCTTTTCTTTGGGGACTAGGTTTCGGTTTAGCTCCTTGTCTATTACTATCATCTATCCTTGGCAAATGGCAATGTCGCTGAAGGAGGGGTGAAATCTTGTACTTTGTTGTGAATAAAAACACAATTAATTTTTTTCATTTGCATAACAAATTCAATTAAATCTCATTTTATTTCAGTTTTGTTTGTTTGTTTTTTTTTTTTGTATTTTTTTTTTACAATTTATTAAGCTAAAGTGTGAAAAAATTTCGCTTTAATTTATGTATATATATATTTGTATATATATATATATCGTTTTTGGTTTTGTTCTCTTTCTTTTTCATTTATTACATTACAATATTTTTTGGTTTCCCATTTATTAATTAAGTTTACTTTCTCTTTGCTTTATTATAAATTGATTTTGTCGTTTTCCCTTTGTTATAAATTAATATGCAACTTGTTTGGAGAACTAAAAAAGCGTTAATTATTTATATTTAATGAAAATAAAAATTGTTTATCTTTTAGCGCTGTTTATTTGGGCTTTTTTGTTTGTTTTGTTTTTGCTTGTCTCTTTTTTTCCTTGCCTCTGTTATGTATTAGTTAATATTTTTTACATTTAGATGTTATTGTGCAGTTTTGGTTTCCTGTTTCTTTTTTTTTCGTCGGGTATCGGCTTTGATTTTTTATTTTATATTTCGAATTAACTAATTATACTTCAATTTATTTTGCGTAATAAACTAATTCAGGCGTTTGTTTTATTTTGTTTTTTTTCTTGTTAAATACATTAATCGAATATATCTAATACACACACATATATATATATATATATATATATATTGTATTTATATCTGCATTCATATGTATATATACATACATATATATATATATATATTTTTTTTTATAAAAACAATTTCTGTCTGTCTGTTTTTTAACTTTAATAAAAATGAATACATACAAAAATTGTTGTTCTGTTTTATTTATCCCCTCCGTTTTTCTTATAAAAAAAAACAAAAAAAAAAACTGTTTTCTTTGTTTTTTTGTAAATACTCGTATTCCGTCGAAAAATCGATAACAAGAGGCTTAGCTTTGATCGAATATCGAATGTGTGTGGTGCCCACGAAAACATTTAGATGTATGACAGCATTTTTCATTCATTTTGCTTTAGTATTATTTTGCAAGAACTATTTGTTTAAGAATATTTTAAATACAAATTAACTTTCCCATTAAAAAACTAGAAACCAAAATACACATCGTGTAGTTGTAGGTGTAGGTGTGTATATGCATGTGTGTGTTTGTTTGTGTGTGTGTCTGTTTGTCAAGCATTTGGACAAAATTGTATACTACCACATACTGTTATACAGCTACATAAATATACTCATACATATATATGTATATATTTGTATATATGTATATATATGCACAGTCGATCTGGTTTTTTTTTTAGTAGAAAAGTGGCGGGTGTCATAATTTCTTGTAGCATTTCTGTAATCCTTGGTTTTCCTTTATTTTTTTAGCTGTATTTACTTTATCGCACATACATATATAACCTTTGTA